TATATATATATGTATATACGGTATATATATGTATATATTATTTGGAAGGTTGGATGTGTCTTATAAATGAGCCTCTTCACACTGCATATCACGGTTTTGCATTTTATACATTCATAAAATATTCCATCACTGTTTGATCGATCGGCATGAATGTTAAAAGCTTTGGCATCTGCTTGTGTCTGTATATGAAACCACCTGTTTTTCCCAGTTTTTTTAGTTAAAAAAAAGAAGAAAAAAAAAAAAAAGATGTTCTGTGTGCTTCAGAACAGGTGGAATCTGTGTGACACTCGCAGTGAAGTCCTGGAAATACTGTGGCTACATGCTGAGTGTGAAATCTCAGTTTATTTGTCAATATGTTTAGTTGACACACACGTGGAGAAAAAACTGATCATCCTATGTAGTGACATAAAGTAAGCAGAAAAAAGTGTAAGCTGGCACATTCTGTTATTTTTTTATTTTATTTTCAAGAAAATCTGTTCATTTTCAAAGCAGAAAATGGTAAAACTATGTAATTCTGATCCTTTTAATGACAAAGACAGACTGATTACATGATCATCTATCTATCTATCTATCTATCTCAGAATCAGAATCAGAAAGGGTTTTATTGCCAAATGTTGAGCAGGTTTACAACATTAGGAAATTGCTGCGGTACTTAGTGCAAACATACTGTCATATAACGCTTATATAGACATAAAGAAATAAAAATAAGAATTAAAAGTGCTAAGTAGATATATACATGAGTAGATAGATATCTATCTATCTATCTATATATCTATAGATAGATATCTATAGATATATAGATATATAGATAGATATCTATCTACTGTATATATCTATCTATATAAACATATCCATCCATCCAGGGGAGCCTTGTCAGGGTCGAGGGGGATCTGGAGCCTATCCCAGCTACCACAGGGCGAGAAGCAGAGTACACCCTGGACAGGTCTCCAGTCTGTCGCAGGGCTAGCACATACAGACAGACAAACATTCACACTCACATTCACACCTATGGGCAATTTACAGTTACCAATTAACCTAACCCCACTAACTGCATGTCTCTGGACTATGTGGGGAAGCTGGAAAAGAAATGCCTCGGCCACCCAATCACCGTGCCACCGTGCCACCGTGCCACCCATATATAAAAAGAGTCCAGACTGACTGTGACAATTACAGTATGCACACATGCACACATACTGTAATTCTTGCATATGCATATTTTATACAGCATTGGCATGACAAGTTTTTAACAAGGAAGCAAACTCTGTACGTGTACACGTTTTGGCTCCTAAATGAATCTTTAAGAAAATGCACTGAAGTAAGAAAACGCCCAGGGATAACAACCATGATAAATTACACATAACAAGTAACACTAATGAGGTCCTTCTCCGAGCTAATGAACATTTTAATTATCATCGACCTC